TCTAGGAGGCCGATAAGCGTATCCTGCAGGCGCTCCTGGAGGAGGAGGAGGAGACCCGGCTTGTGCACTCGGCGCGGCGGGAGCAGGCCCTGGCTGACGTGGCCTGGATGAGGCAGGTCCTCGAGGAGCAACTGCAGCTGGAGAGGGAGCGGGAGGCAGAGCTGCAGATGCTGTTGAGGTGAGAGGCGGCAGCTGCGTAAGCTGGACACTCTTGGCCTCTGCTCTGGGACCTGGCAGCCCCGCAGGCCTCTGAGGGTGGTCTGTTCTTGAAACATCTGTCCTTGGTGATGTATCCGTCTTTCACGAGCACATCTTTGTTAGGACCTGGCTTGTGAGGGTGTTTCCTTTAGGTTAGGTTATTTAAGATGGAAATCACTAGGGTTTAGAGTAAGGATCTGTTCATCTAAAATCTTAAAAGTTTGAAAGGAAATTGTTATACATTATGGAGATGTTGCATGATTCTTAGGTCTATATAAATGGATCCTAAAAATGAACATAGTAGATTGAAATAAATAACAGGTAACATTTATTGAGCACTTGTATGCCAGATACTCCAGCCAAGTGGTTGGTACTGGGGTCATGGGGACTGGGGGAAGTCACTCACTCATTTGCATCAGGCCACAGGGTGAGCTAGCAGGGACCCCAGGAGCGTGGCAACAGAGCTCAGGCACTGACAGTGCCCCTCCTCTAGAGCCTTGACGGTTTCATTCACTTCAGTGTTTAAATGGCCCAGGTATAAGGCATCGAAGTGTTTTTTATAAAGAGATGGAGTCGTAAGAAGGTCACTTAAAGTACTTACTATAGGAACACTTCTTGTGAACGTGTCCTTAATCTGTTCAAAGTTTGTGTGGAGAGATTTATTTGAAGGCTGGCCCCACAGGTGTGTGCCACCTGATGCTTTGGACCTTTAGTTCCTGTCTGCCATTGGTAAGGAGCCTGCTGTCACTGTCTTGTGTTTCCCTAGGGAGGAAGCCAAGGAGATGTGGGAAAAGAGAGAGGCAGAGTGGGCCCGAGAGAGGAGCGCACGAGATAGACTCATGACTGAGGTAATCCCCGCTGTGATGGATGTGGGCTGGTCGGTGTCTGGGCAGGTGGAGCTGCAGCCTGGCCACAGCTTGCAGAACTGGTATTTGTTAGAGTCGAACTAAAACCTTTCCTTTTCCTTTCTGCTGAGGCTAGGTCCTGACAGGGAGACAACAACAAATACAAGAAAAGATTGAACAAAACCGAAGGGCCCAAGAGGAATCCCTAAGACACAGGGAGCAGCTTATTCAAAACCTTGAGGAGGCAAGAGAGTCAGCTCGTCGTGAGAAAGAGGAGAGTGAAGAACTGAAATCAGCCAGGAAACGGGAGCTGGAAGCCCAGGTAGGGCCGAAAGTCCCTGGGCAGGAGGCAGCCTAGCAAGGGGGATGAGAGCTGCGGCAGCAGGGCCTGCAGTGGTGCCTGCATCATGGTGGCCCAGGAGTCAGAGGCCCTGGGCTTATTTCCACTCCTGGCACCACTGGCCTTGTCTGGGAAGCCCGCATTTGAGAGCTCAGTGCATTCCTTTTTGTCCCACCTGAAACCCTGACCCTGCTGGTTGTAGCTCAAGCTCCACTCCACATCCTCCTGTGGAGCAAGGCTGTCATTACTGCCCACCACCTCTCATTCCTGTCTGCATCTGAAAGCATTTTGTTCACTGGCCACAATTTTCTACTTATTCAGTTCTGTACCTAATAGGTAACACAAAATCTTCCAAACACATGACCACATCCAGAGTTTCATACAAGGTACATATTACCACGCACATAACGTCTCCAATACCATAAATGCCCTTCCCACTGTTGGCACTTCCCTCTGATTCTCCAGCTTGGGTAGATCCACAGGCTTTCCCTCTTGGTCAGAGGCAGCACTCTGCCCTGTAGGCCTTGTCTCAGGATGACTTACTCTGTGTCCAGGTTGCAGAGCGCCAGTTGCAGGCGTGGGAAGCAGACCAGCAGGAAGCAGAGGAAGAGGAGGCGGCAAAGCAGGCAGAGCAGCTCACCGATGCCCTGTTAGAGCAGGAGGCAAAGATGATGGCCAAGCAGGGATACCGGCCCAAGGTAGGGAGCCTGCAGGTGACAGCCACTGCTCTCCCAGGACTGTTCACAGCCCTGTGCTCAGCTCTGCTCCCTGCCAGCTCAGATTCTTCCTTGCTCACCTGTTGTATTTCTTTTCTCTACTAGTGGGGAACCTTGACACTGGGTCTGTTTCATCTTTGGTGGGGCCTCTTACAGCCCTTGACGTGATTCTGACTTGGCTCCTGTGGCTGCAACCAAGGGTTGAGGTCCTGACTGTTAAGCTGTGTGCCTGTTACCCTGTTTGGGGACAAATAGCAATCTAAGAGCGTTGGCCACAGCTGGTGAGAGGTGAAGGCAGTGGTTCTAGGCCCTAACTATCCAGACATCAGAGCCCCTGCCCCTCCTTTACCAGGGCCACCCAGGTGCTCTAAAGTGCTGCAAAACAAAGGCCGGCTCCTCTGTGGTCAGATAACTCTGGGAAGCTGATGAAACATTCAGAGCAAGTACTACACCGGCTGCAGAACATTAATGTCCTAACTGGCTAAGGCTCTTGAGGTGCAGGGGACACCATTTTAAACTTTCTTGGCCATGGATCAGTGAGTGTCTCAGGATTAGGGTGTCACAGAACACATGTGAAAATGTTCCTACATAGGGCTGGTGCTTTAAAAAAAGTCATCAAGTGCCTCATTTGTAGCTTAGGGTTAAAGCTGCTTTGGCTATAAATGAAAACAGCCATTTATACTGTGCTTTTTAGCTCTTACTTACAATGGATTAATTCCCAGTGCTCCAGAGAGTGCTGATCTAATCAGTCTTATGTTTTCATTCTTTTTTCAGCCTTATGGACATCCCAAAATTGCTTGGAACTGACTTCCTTGGTACTGGAAGCACAGAGAACAAGGGTGCTGAGGCCTTTGATATGCAACCGCCAAACAGTTTTACAATGTTCTGCTCTAGTGTTAGGGTCACTGGAAAATAGGTCAGTGAGCCTGTCAGGTCCATGATAAAATGGATCAAGGGTCTGGCCAAACTTTAAGGTGTTGTGAATATGCAACACCTAGTAGGAGGCCCTTCCATGCCTTTCTTATTCAAGAAAGGGGGTTTTATAGTCACGCACTGATAGTGCTGTCACAGTCTTGCACTATATTCATAAATAATGTAAGATTCTAAGTCTGTGCTAGGAGTTACAAGTTGTGTTCCATGACAGGACTCATGATCTCCTGTTGTCTCACCCTTAATTGTCAACCTCCAGTGAAGCCTCCAGCCAGATATGAGGGGAGGTTTTTCATTTTTTAAGTTGCCATTTAAATTTAACTATTCTATTGCAGACAGACGTGTAAGATTTATTAATTTAGTGGTCCCAAAAGGATCACATCTTGGTTTCTGAAGAAAAGAACTATGAACCCTGAGACAGGCTGATGTGGTCCTTGGGTGCTTTCTGGAAAGGTAGTGAGAAATGAGTCTTCCCTCCTTTAGGAAGCACTTGGTAGAATTTCCAAAGAGCACTGGGGAGGGGGGGAGTGTGATCCCAACATCTATGTTACTGAGCCTCAAAAGGGGACTTCAGAAGGTCGCTTGGATAGCTAACCTTTTGGTATGACACTTTGGATCTCTGGTGTCTCAGGAAGGTCTAAGCTACATACAGCCTTCTAGGACTTATGTACCCAGAGGAGGGACACTGACCCTGAAGAAACTAGATCAGACTGAACCACAAATTAGCCAAACGTTTCTCTTCCCACTGTTATATCAATGTGACATAGCTCTAGATTAATCTCTACAAGAAGTTCCTTGGCAGCAATATTTTTATGACTTTTTTTTCATATTCTTTCTGTAAAGTTTTTGTTACATTGTGTTCAAGAATCCGTATCTCAGTAAATTACAGCTAAATACTGTTCCAGGTTATTAAAAACCAGAGTTTATTTAAAAATCCTGAGCCTAAGGGCTGTGTTGCCTTTCACTTCCATTGTGTTATTAAAACAAATTAACCTGCAAACTATATCCTTAATCTGTTTTTCATTTTCTTATCTTGAATTTCTTTGGATATGATCCACTGAGCTCCATTTTCATTGTGCATGCTCATATTTATTCCTGTTTCAGATGTTCATTACTTGTGAAATAAAGTTCTGGTTTGACTGCATCACTTCCAGGCTTTGTTACTGTTGCTTTTATTAATTGCTGCAAAGTGGGTTGTGTAGAATGATAGATTTTTAGTTATTTAATCCACAGCCCTAGCCAATTTGGCTCCGTGGTTAGAGTATCGGCCTGAATACTGAAGGATCTGGGGTTTGATTCCAGCCAAGGGCATGTACCTCAGTTGCAGGATCGATCCCTGGCTCCAGCCGGGGCACGTGCAGGAGGCAACCAATTGACGTGTCTCTCTCACATCAATGTTTCTCTCTCCCTTCTACTCTAAAAAAAAAAAAAAAAAATCAATGGAAAAAATATGCTCAGGTGAGTATTAACAACAACAAAAAAGACAAACTTGACTAACAATAACTCACATGCTCCCCTCTTCCCTCGACGTGGGACTTCAACTCCTTGAGTGTGAACTTCCTCACCTGTACTGCTTCACAGGGTTGTGAGGATTAAAGGAGTTAATCCACACACATAAAAAACCCAGCACAGTGCCTGCGGCAGAGTAATTGGTAAGTGTTAGTTGTAACTATAATTATTATAAAAGCATATTTGAAAGCAGAAAGGCAAGGAGCTGCCTGGTGGGGAAGGGGACCCTGAAAATGGGACTACAGCAGTGCTGCTAAGAGTGTAACTCCTAGGCCCCACCCCACAGCTGTTGGATCAGAGATGAACTGGGGGCTGTTGCTGCGAGCCCTCCAGGGGCTGGAAGCTGGCTTATCTGAGAAGCCCTGCCTAGGAGGTGCTTCTGGGTGGGAGCTGATGGGTCTGACCTACTGGTTCTGGGACCTCAGACAAGCTAGATGACACTCCATCTTCCCTAGATCTCTCATTTGGAAGGGACCTGTGATGACCAGGTCCTGCCCCACCCCTTCTTCTGTTTGGGAGAAGAGCCCCAAATCACCTCTCCAGAGGACAACTGTTGGGGACTGAGGGTGGCCCTGATGAACCCAGGTATAAATCTATATTCCACATGGGCCTTTCTCTGAAAGTTAAAAAGAGACCGATGGCCTTAAGAGACTGAACTAACCCCACAACCAGATCACTTGGGAAGACAAGGTGAGGGCACCTATGCTTAGCCGGCTTACCCTGAATTTAAAAACCATGAGTGGATACATACTGATATCCCGATGCAGAATTTCTTTAATAAAGTTATTTGCTAAGTACAGAGGAGGAAACAGAGAATGCCCAGGGTGAAGGCATATTCAATACCGTCTCATTAAAGATGGGGTGATGTGAGAACTTCCTCGGAACTCTGACAGAGTATGTGGAAGCACCAACTAACTTATGGGAACCATAGAATTACTACCACGAGGACAGTTATAGAGCCTGTTTATTGCATAACTAGCAGGCACAAATTTCAAAACAATTTTACAACGCTTAAAGGGTTGTACAATAATTACAGGAATAGAATGTACAATAAAAATGAAAAAATAAGTACAGACTAAAGGATGGCATGGTTAAAACAGACGAGTAAAAGGCATTTCAGTCTCCTATGCAGCATTTTCTTCTGTAAAAACAAGGGTGACCTTCAACCAGGACACAGAAAGAAGGAAAATTCGATGTTTGGGAAGCTCGCAGCTGCTGTGAAAGAACTCGGGCTAGCCTCCCTCTTGTTCTGCAGCTTACGTCACCTGAGGAATTGGACAACAGCTCCTAATTGTGCGTTTCAGTTCTGATGGCGTGAAATGCTGTATTTGATCTTTGGGCCCGACTGTTCTTTGGCAAATAAGAACTATTTGCATTCTGAGGCAGAAGATGACTTCAGTTAAAGGAGCTCAGGTGGAGCTGTCGCCTCCTCAGCAAGTGCCAGTCTTGTAAAGTGCACCTCTGTCCTACCAGCTTTGGGAGGGGTGAGGGCGGTTTGAGAATAAAGGGTGAAAATGTGACAAAGAGCAGACGGTAGTGCAAGGCTATGGAACCCATGTGCAAAAAACTGTTCGGACAAGGTGATTTGCCAACAGGACCAGAGAACCTCCGACGCGGGATCTCAGTGAGGCTGAGGAAGTGTGTGGGGCACTTAGGAGAAGGAAGCCTTGCAGCCCTCCTATCAACACGTGTCCCGCCGCCTGGGAACTTCTTTCTGGAGTTTTGGCACTGTGGGTTAATAAATTCTGCGGAGTTCTTACAACTGAAAATGCTGGTCCCCACGTTCCTTGACTTTCTCCAGGGCACAGGTGTTTGCAAGAAAGACGAGGGACAGCTAAGTATGTGCAGCATGCAGAGAAGGTTTCAGATGGTGCTTGAACTTAAGTTAGAAGACATCCTCAAGGAGACATCCCCTCAGCATCCGACAGGAGCATGGCACTTAGGGTTGTGCAGATAAGCAAGTGGACGAGTCTTTTGGAGATGTGGACCTTTTCCCCAAGCTACTTAGTGTAGCGAAAGCATCCACACACAGTGACTTAGTAAAGCAGACACCATCACGGTGCTCCTTTCATGACAGTTTACGGTCAAGCTGTAAAGGTGACTGTGAATCAAACAGTTCTGTGAAAGTACAGGCTTATTTAGCATGAATTTAGGCAACTTTGATTATTTTGACTTCACGTGTGTGAATGCGCACTCTGGGACCAAATATGTGGGTAAAACGAAGACTAACAGCAACTCAACACAGGACAGGATGGCCACGTGATGGATGAGGCTGAGGCTAAGCCAGGTGTGACCAGGGAGACCAGGCCCTCACACTGCAGTTTACAGGACCCCAGGACAGAGGCTATGAGCTGCAGGCCTAGAGACCACAGCTCACCCACATGTGTGCTGTGAAAATGTCTAGATCAGTTGCTAACATTTATAAACAAAGAGATGGCACCAAAAAATCCAGATTTCTAGAGTCTCTTGAGAAATAAAAGCTCTGGCAACCCTGGGCCCACTTTTCCACCTGGCAGCCTAAGTAGAGCTGGGGAGCTTCTGTGCCCACTGAGTGTACCCTAGGCCCCCCTGCTGTCCCTGCTCCTGCTCTACACCGGGCTCACTTCATTCACCTTCATCACTACCACCTGGCCTCCCTGGTCTAGGTCAGGGTCTGAGCCACACTCACACAGAACTGCTTCAATAAGCAAGTACAGGAATATGTTTTAGCATTCAGAACAAAAGGTCTCTTTAGCAACTTAGAAAACAATCTCAGCATGTTCCAGAACTGAAACCTGTACTCTTTCATAGCTTTGGGATCGCTGGTAGTTGGCCAGAACATATCCTCTAAGGAATTCTTGAAAGTTTTTGTCCAATTTTTAAATACCAGCAAGATCATGGAAAAGAAATAAACTCAGATGATTGTATATATCTTACCTTACAAGAAGTCCATAAAGGGTGATCGGCTATGTGAAGCAGGTCGTGTGGGAAGGCTTTAAGTGGTTAAAGGAGTAACTGGGTTTTAGATGACAGAGAGGTACAATACAAGGTCAGGGAGTAGATGATTTATCTTCCCACAGTTCATGGCAGTGACAGTGGAATGGGGTGGTGCAGAATGAGTTATGGCCTGTGGGGCTGATGCTCTTCTTGCTGCACGTCTGGAAGGAAAGTTTGGTTTCCTGGGGTAAGGCAGAGCAGTAGACTACGGGTGATAACATGGCAGTGCTCCTACCTGGATGTGGCCAAATGACACATGACGTGGAGGATGAGTGCCTATCTGAAGCCACGGAGACTTCAGGATGACAGTAAAATAGAAAGAGACAGAAGATCAAGATAGAAAAATTAAGGAACATCTCATGATAGAACAGTTAAAAGAAATGGAGCAATTCGTTGTTTCCTTCAAGAGAGATTGTTACACTATTTTTAGAAAGTGGCAAAGTCCTGTCTCTACATACTTGCTTGGAGACACTCCAAACTTAGAGATTCTTGCAACAGGTTGGAAAATTCACTTATTGCACAATGCTTGGTAGGGAACAGATAAGGTTGCTTTTTTTTTTTTTTAACCCAACTCTCTCAAGAAAATCTCATTTATAGTTTTAACCATAGGCAAGGAGTTTTAAGGGCTGGATAAATAAATGGTAACCAACTTGCAACAATGAAGCTATGCTTTTGGAAGTCCATGATCATTAACTAACAGTCACTGACAGCACAACAGAACATCAGAAAGTAAACTGGCAAACAGTCACAAAATAAGGCAAGTGGGTTAAATTAATAGTTGAAAATTTGTTAGAAAACATGCAAAAATAATACTGAGGTTTTTTTTAAAAAAGTTTTAAACTTTCATTAAATGTTTGTTTCTGGTAAAAATCAGAAGAGTTCCATGTCTAAATTTGTAACTGGACTTTGAAAAGCCTAGAAAATAGAAGGGTCAGCACACCGCTGTTCAGTTGTTGTTCTCTTTGGTGGTGATGGTCACCAGCTGTTTGGCGGCCTTAGCGATGTCGTATGCACACTGGATGACCTGCTGCGTGACCAGCTGGACGTCTGTGGGTGGGCTAGAGTCCCCGGGGAGGGTCTTCTTGCACTCTGACTGGAGTCGGTAGGCACTGGATGTCAATAAGCGAAGGGAAGTCCTCACCATATCAGACTTGGGTTTCTAAACAGAAAACACAGCCACTGGCCATGAAGTACAGGGTGAACATCCAAGAGCAGGAACAAGCATTCTTCTGAAAACAACTCCAGCTGTTCCATAGTGAATAGCAGTTTTGCCATGCACTTTTTCAATGGGGGTGCTCAGAACACTACAAGCTTTGCAACCCACGATGTGAGATGCCAAAGCGCTCTAACTCAAAGGTCAAAGTGCATGCAGTAACATTTTAGTAGTATGTGTTACTCTGACGTAGTTTTTGAAAAATATTAATCCACTTGAGCGAAATATTTCAGATAAAATTTTATTCTATTGATGATTTGCTTTTTAGCGCTGGGCACAGACATTCTTGTCTTATTAAAACCAATATTCATGTAGAACAAAATTATTTCAGTGCCCTACATGACTATTTGCAGATTTAAGACACTCTGTGCTACAACAAGGTTAATGTAATACCAAGGTCAGAAGGAAATTTCCTGCAGTTTATTTAAAAGGACCTGAACCAAGCAGGAAGTGACTTACTTTGGGGAATAACGCTGCCATTTCCGTAACAGCCACATGTATCCTCTCTGAGCAGGGGCTGTAACTGCAAGAACATGGAAGAGGTCATTCAAAGACAGCAAAATAATTCAGAAACAGAGAACGCTCAGGGGCTAGCACAGGTTCCATTTATATTCCCTTAATGAAGGGGCTGAGGCCGAGGCTAGCCCAATGTGGATCCCACACCAACAGAAGGAATCAGGTTCTAGATCAGGGTCCCCCTATCCTTTCTTGAAAGTTCATTCCATCTGATAAAAACAGCCTATAGGTATGAAACATAGGCAACATTACACTACTAGCCAGGTGAGGCCACAAACAGTCTGTAAAGATATTCACACTTCCTTAAGTTGGTCACTTATTTCTCATCTTCCCAATTTCTTGAAAGCGAAACAAGGATTTCCATGCAAAAGGCCAGAAGTTAAAAATAAAGCACTAAAAAAAAATTCCTTACAGTTGGAGCCTACACCTCAACACTTAAAAACCAACCTGGGTGAAATGAACACTTCTAAATTCTTCCCATTCAATGCATCTGAATTGTTGGGGTGTCTAAAGCTTTACTTTGGATAAAGAGGAGAGATCAGCTTCATACACTTGTTCAATCACTTACCCACTTTCTTGTAAAGCTGCCATGACTTTGTAATAAAATGCCACGAGCACAGGTAGTACTTTGCTTGTGGACAAGCTCAAAGGAGACAAAGCACATTACATCTGCCCGCCCTCATCCTTTCTTCCAGGCCGCCTGGCCTCCTAAGAGCCCCTGAGATGACAGCACAAGAGCTGAGGCTTCAGGAGCACAGGCTGCACACCAGGCTCCGTTCTCAGAGCTTTGCAGAGACTTGTGTAATCCTCCCAATAGCACTATGAGGTTGGTACTACTATCACACCCATTTTTCAAATGAGGAAACTGAGGCCTGGAGAGACAGAGAACCTGGCCAAGGTCCTACAGCTGGTAAGAGAGCAGAGCTCAACCTCTAAGCACGGGACACTCACTGCCACTCCACAAACAAATTCACTTTTTTTTTTTTTTTTAAATAGCAAGCCTCTTTCCACTAACAACTGGTGATTCTGACTTCTTAGGTGATGACAATTGGAAGATTTAAGACTCTGGTTTCATTCAGGACTCTTATTCTTAGTATTATGACAAGCAACATACGGGGCTAGTTTCCTGCACCTTAAAAAAGTTATATTTCTGCCCTGAGAAGTATGTGTTACAAGGTACAGAGACAAAGACAAACTAAGATAGTATTAAGTGACAGCTCTTAGATACCACATTGCCAGCAGGCCTGGGTTTTGCTTCTAGAACTGACCCACAGAGCCAAGGAGGGAAGTGGATATGGGAAAAGCACTGAGGAGCCTGTTTTTAGCATGTTTCGAAATATGATGTGACTACAAAGGTTTGGCCTAACACAAGAACCCACATGGCTGTGCTATAAAATTTCCCTTCTAGGACACAAAACCAAATGCCCTTCAGCATCCATCCTAGCACTTAAAACCTTCAAGTAACATCCTTTCCCCATTTTTTAAGTCATGAGGTTTGCTTCTGCAACCTCTGTACTTTATCTTTCTAAGACATCTAGTATCAAAACTATTTTAATCAAGACTGCCTACATTTTAATAACTATGTATGATGCCAGGTGCGTACTACACTTATCGAGGGGGTGACTTCGTAAATTATATAAATGTCTAACCACTAAGCTATACACCTGAAACTCATATAAATTAATACTGAACGTCAACTGTAATTGAAAGAAAAAGAAATTATTCAGAAAAAAATGACTGCTTACATTTTAGTGAAACCATCACATTTCAAGAAAATGGTTTATATTATTACAAAATGCCTTCAAGTGGAAAATCCTCACTTTTACCTTTGTAAGCAGTTAGAACCATACACCACGGAGTAACAAAAATGCCAATGCACAGGGAGTTATTTAACTTAAACATTTCAAGGCACAACAGCCATCTCATCACACAGACACTCAGAGAAAAAGGCAATGTCCACAGCAACCCCTGTATCAGACACAATTGTTTCTTGGAACCAGTATGTCTGTTAATATCACATTAACCGAGAACCCCATCTAAGAGTTTTACCTTTTGCTGGTTAAGGGTTTCTATGTTGATCCAAAAATATAATTCACCTTTTCCCCCTGCTACATAGAGAACTTTTCCTAAGGACCTCTCTCAAAACCTCATTCATTACAAGATATTTTAGAAAGCCCTCAATAAGCCACAAAAGAAAGCACACAGATTAGTGAGAAAGTCTTCCTCCTTTATCAGAGGAGGGCTTATGCTCACAACTCCAAACTGTTATCTTTCCTCAAAAAAAGCTTTTGTGCATATGTAGTAATCCTGACTTGTGTAATTTTGTGTGTGTGAAAGAGAAAAGGGGGG